AACAGCTTTAAGAGGATACCTTAATTAAAAAAAAAAAAAATCAGCTGCAAAAACAAAGAAAATTTTTCTGCTTGAAAGATTGAAAAAATCAAATCATAACTTGCAAAAGCGATATAAGTGAAAACATGGTCCTGAGCATGCCATTAAACCAGTTAAGGATAACATAAGTTTAACCAAAGAATCTATGTGAAAAAGAGAAATAATTTGAGCTACTTATCACCATACAGAAACTTCACCCAGATATCATCGATATTATATCTTGATGTTCCTTTCATTTGACCAGCTAAATGAATTATGAGCTATGAGATTAAAAGAGATAGCAAGAAACCCAAACTTATATTGTGTTCCCGGAGTCTTATAAGTTCTAAAACAATGAAGGAAACTTCTCTAATTATATAACTCAATAAGCTCATCAAATGTACTGACTGAAAAATATTTTTAATGGAAAACATGTTTTAAAGATAATTTTTTGTAATTTTCTGATCCAGTGTAAAAAAGAATCATATGTTCACACAATTATAGACAGGATTCAGGTAGTTGGTGATTGGTGATTGTTTCCAGCAATAGCAGACAACTGACATTGAGTCAACTGAAACATGATTGTGGCAATCATCAGCAACTATTGCTATGGTTGGAAATGGATGGCACTCAGTAAGGCGCAATAGTAGACCAGTGGAAAATGCCTACACTGAAGGTGAAAGCCAAATCAACTGAGTGGTAAGACCATATATCCTATGATGGTGGAAGGCCTGCAACACAAAGCAGTTTGCAAGTTTGAGCCAAATCTCCACTGGCTAGAAAAATATCCCAGTTGCCATTTTCTGTTCTGTCATCCAACACAGAGGAGGAAGAAAAGGACAGATAAAAAACGAAGAAGAAGCAACGCAGTTTTCAAGCAAAACATCAATTTACTCCTTGGAAAAGGTAATGCAAGCAATGGAACTCAAGCCATGCATTATAAATGTCAGAAATGTTCTATTCTACTTCTACCAGATAGATACTTAAAAACGCTCAGAGGACTTACAATAGGCAATTTCACAACAAACTCACAATTTTAATATACAGGGTAGTAGTTTATTCCAGTTCAAGCAACAAAAGGACTGCCATCATAATATTATTAAATTGACATGAGCAGTGAAATCACTTGATATGAACCATGTTCACTTACTTTCCATGGGCAGTTTCCCCTGAAAGCATGACTGCATCAGCACCTTCACGTACTGCAATTGCTATATCTGAAACCTCGGCCCTTGTTGGTGTAGGATGACCAATCATGCTTTCCAGCATGTTTGTCGCTACAATAACTGGTTTCTGCATACTGTGACACCTTCTAATGATGTCTTCCTGTTTGCAAGATCATGTAACTCTTGATTAAACAAGGAATTCAAGTACCGTGATTAAACTCTAAACAGGACAAGTATTAAAAGGGTAAGTGTTGTTGCCAGTTAACAAGGCTACATACAGGTACAGATGGCCATTTCACCTACTATAATTTTACCTGGTTGGATAAGCCATGCACCGTGAGTAGGTATTGCTAAGAAATAACATGTATTTAGACAACAACAAAAACAACTGAGCCTCGATTGTAAACTTGTTGGGGTTGGGTTTATGAATCGCTATGCACCCTTGCTACTACATCATGTACTAAATCCGCCAAATAACATGCATGTAGACAAACTACAAAAATGACCCATATGATGGATCTCTAGAATTCATTTTAAGCTATTGCTTGTGTAATCTTTTTTTCCTAGATTCAGAAGTAACTTCTCAATATCTCCAAGAAAGTGGTGAGTCCTCAAACTTTTCCATTCTAATCAAACCCCATAGCCAAATTTGACACATGTATTATGTGCACCATGGAAGTTAGTTAGACATGTCATATGCAGTTCAATTACCTGCAATAAAGGGACTTCCTCTATTGGAAGTTCAGCACCAAGGTCTCCACGAGCAACCATTGCCTATAAAGGCAACAAAAAACAGTTAAACAGGAACTAAACATTATGATACAAAGTAATGGATAACCTGAACTCTAGCACATGAACACATGCACGGGGTGTGCACAAGGCACATCCTGGCACAGAACAGAAAATCATTCTCCTGTAAAGAAGAGTAAAACACACAAGCACACTTGAGGGAAAAAACAGCCCTTAATGAAAACACTCGCAACAAACACAACTTAATTTTTTTTCCTTGACTTCATAATGGCATAAAAAATCTGTAGTAATTCATTAAGAATATTGAAAACTGACCCCGTCAGATGCGGAAATTATTGAATGAAGATTTGGTATGGAGTCAGCACTTTCAATTTTTACAATCACATGAATTTCAGCACTGCAGCCTGCATCAAAATAGTTAAAATAGATAAACTGAACAGGTATGAATTCTCGAATGCAGCTGTAACATGAAAATGCGTTTATAATGAAGAAAAAACTTTACTTTTGAGATAATCTTTTAGCTCATGAACCACTTCCGCATCCTTCACGAAGGAGACGGCATAAAAATCAACTTGGTTATCCACCCCAAATTTGATATCTTCCCAGTCTTTGTCTGTAGATAATGACCATATAGCACACAAAAACACAGCGAAGTTTTCAGAAAATAGCAGAGGAAAAATGAAGAATCAAATCTCCACATCATCACTGTTATACAAAAAGAAATTGAAACAGGTAAGACCTGTAATTGAAGGCAGAGTTGCACTTTTCCCACGCACGTTTAAATGGCGCCTTGATTTTAGTTCTCCACCATCAACCACCACACATTTAACTAGATCATTTGTCTTTGATTTCACAGCCAATGACATCATTCCACCTATGTCACAGAAAATAACACTTCAAGTCGTGTGAGCAGAAGAGAAACTTAAGAGTCCAGTGAATATTTTGTAGAGTGTTCCTTGTGAGAATAGACAGGAAAAAGAAAAGAAAAGAAGATGATTATAGAGAATCCACATATAGAATAAAATCCAAACATCAGGAAATTAAATTTATGGTGTTACCATACATTACTAGAAACTCAGACATATACTGTAAGAGAAGCCATCAACCTATTCGGTAAATAATGAATCACACTTCCGAGAGGCAAGTCTAGATGTCAGGGGGAGTTGATAGAATAACTTTGTTTCCATCATGGTGAATTATTCATAGTGCTACATCTCAATTCAACTAAATGTTGTCATGATAGCTTGGCAGTTGTAACACAATTCCTGTTTCCCATAAGGTTATCATACATAAAAATTGACCACTGTCCAAAAATAGAAAGTTCTCAGCAAGGAGAACTAAACACATATAGTACATCAACTATAATAAAATCATAAATTCAAAGAAATTGAATAAATTTTTATTTTTATTTTCATAGTGATATATCATACTTCTTTCTGTTTTTAAACTCATTTGTTTTGAATTATAGATTCCAATTACATCAAACCTTTAATCAGATGGTGCAGAAGTACAGGTAACTCACATACCATCAATCGAAATCAGTGCAAATATACACATTTATGCTTACCATCCACCAGTATCATGTCCCCAACCTCCACATCATTTATGAAGTCATCGTAGTTTACACTAACAGTGTCTTCAGAGCTGACTCCTCTTTTGATGGTGAAATTAAATTCTTTTCCCTCCTCAAGAATAATTGGTTGAGGCACATCTCCACTTCTAACCTCAGGACCCTGCACTCCGATAAAAGAATCTGAAACTTTGACATTTGCACTGTAGGTCTAAATAGGAAGCACACACCAGCAAGAACATTGAGCAGGATGTTGGACGAGTGATTGCAACAATGACAATATTTAATGTAAGACTTGCTTGGCATGCAATCACTGAACCTCTTCCAAAGCACCCCCCCCAAAACATATTCCAAAGAAAACTTGATCATCCAAACTTTATGCATTGCCCGGTGAACGTAAATAATAAAAATGAGAGAAACCCACTAGCTATCACTAACATTGGTTAAAAATGAAATAAAACCAAATGAATGTATTGTATGATAATTCATGAAAATTATCACGAAAAAGTTTCACCACAGAAAAAAGGATAAATAAGGATCAAACTTGAATTTATTGAATTTGTGTTTGACCTTGACAAACTTGAGAGGGGGGAGGGGGATGTTTTATTCAAAAAACTAATCACGGTAAAGGAATAGACTTGATAGAGAAGTAAAAAAATTTCAAAAACCAATATACCTTGGTGTCTAGCATTATGGCAATGACGTTGTCATCAGATTGTGCATTATACTCTTTAACAAGATCAATAGTTATCTTGTGGGAAGCGTGGTCTCCATGCGACATATTTAAGCGGGCCACGTTCATTCCAGCTTCAGCCAGTTTCCATATCATTTCACGTGAGCTTGTGGAAGGACCAATTGTACAAACTATTTTTGTCTTCCTTCGAGAGATTGAATCTGTCTTTTCCTTTACCAAAGTTTGGTTGTTGGTCAGAAGCTCTAAAGGAGAGTTCACCTTGTCCTAAAACAGTAGAATCTCAAGTTACAAACTTGCGAAGGAAAGCAAGTACAATGTAAACATTCGAAAGGGAAATGGCATATTCAAGGGTTTATAATGAAACAGAACTACAAAACAGAGCATTTGACATGTGGTTTTTGCAAGTCTAGAATTTAAAAATGCTTAAACCAGGAAGCGCCAGTATCTTTTCTATCTAAAACAGAACATTCATACCGAATAACAAAATCCTGAAATGCAAGAGAAAACACTAATGGCCTACAAAAACCAATTATGAAATACAGAACAGCAGAAATTTAAAAAGACATTGAATCCCTAACCATGGAAGAGCTCTTACGAGATATGTCCAGATGCACAGAAACGATTTTCATTTGTAATTCTATCGGAGGAAAATATAAATAAAAACATAATCACCTTGCTTGTAATGCTATTGAAAGCTTAAAGCTATTTCCTTTTTTTTCTTTCTTTCTTTCTTCTAACTAATAAGACTCGCTTATTGGCTCCAAGGCACTATTTAGAATCTATTTGAAGAATTTATTTCAAAATGAGGTTACGTTACTTTTCAAAATAATTTTAAGAAATATATTAAAATAATATTTTTTATTTTTAAAATTAACCTATCAAAAAATTTAAAAATATTAAAAACATATTAATTTAAAAAAATTAATTTTTTCAAAAATATTTTTAAAACACACGGACAAAAGGCTTACAACAATACCATGTTTAGTTAAGATATTTCCGAATACTTAAAATAATTTCTTTTGCTTCCCAGCAATATCTCAGAAACCAAACAGTGTGTGTGTTGTGTGTGGGTGTACACACACACACACATAATAAAAGAAGATGAGAAGAACTCACAGAGGCAGTTAAAGGACCGTTAGAAGAGACCAGGTTTGCCGTCTGGTTCTGCTCCCTGACTTTCATGGATCTAACTGTAAAGTTGGAATTTTCAAAGAAGCATCTCTTTCTAAGCCTTGATTCCAACATAAACACATCACTCAATTTACTCGACGAAGACAAAATTCGATGATCCCTGCACATGGTCGACATATTGTTAATCGTCGCCATTTCTTCTCAGGTTTTGGCGTCTCTTATTCTTCAAAATATATATATATATGGAGGGAGGGAGGGAGGGAGGGAGGTGGTGAGGGACCACAGAAAAAACTGGCAGGCTCCTGAGAGAAATGGTTAGAGAGAGTTTATAGAAAGGTATCTAAACATCAGGAAATTAAATTTATAGTGTTACCATAAATTACTAGAAACTCGGACATATACTGTAAGAGAAGCCATCAACCTATTTGGTAAATAATGAATCACACTTCCAAGAGGCAAGTCTAGATGTCAGGAGGAGTTGATAGAATAACTTTGTTTCCATCATGATGAATTATTCATAGTGCTACACCTCAATTCAACTAAATGTTGTCATGATAGCTTGGCAGTTGTAACACAATTCCTGTTACCCATAAGGTCATCATACATAAAAATTGACCATTGTCCAAAAATAGAAAGTTCTCAGCAAGGAAAACTAAACACATATAGTACATCAACTATATTAAAATTAGAAATTCAAAGAAATTGAATAAATTTTTATTTTTATTTTTATTTTTATTTTCATAGTGATATATCATACTTCTTTCTGTTTTTAAACTCATTTGTTTTGAATTATAGATTCCAATTACATCAAACCTTTAATCAGATGGTGCAGAAGTACAGGTAACTCACATACCATCAATCGAAATCAGTGCAAATATACACATTTATGCTTACCATCCACCAGTATCATGTCCCCAACCTCCACATCATTTATGAAGTCATCGTAGTTTACACTAACAGTGTCTTCAGAGCTGACTCCTCTTTTGATGGTGAAATTAAATTCTTTTCCCTCCTCAAGAATAATTGGTTGAGGCACATCTCCACTTCTAACCTCATGACCCTGCACTCCGATAAAAGAATCTGAAACTTTGACATTTGCACTGTAGGTCTAAATAGGAAGTACACACCAGCAAGAACATTGAGCAGGATGTTGGACGAGTGATTGCAACAATGACAATATTTAATGTAAGACTTGCTTGGCATGCTATCACTGAACCTCTTCCAAAGCACCCCCCCCAAAACATATTCCAAAGAAAACTTGATCATCCAAACTTTATGCATTGCCCGGTGAACGTAAATAATAAAAATGAGAGAAACCCACTAGCTATCACTAACATTGGTTAAAAATGAAATAAAACCAAATGAATGTATTATATGATAATTCATGAAAATTATCACGAAAAAGTTTCACCACAGAAACAAGGATAAATAAGGATCAAACTTGAATTTATTGAATTTGTGTTTGACCTTGACAAACTTGAGAGGGGGGAGGGGGATGTTTTATTCAAAAAACTAATCACGGTAAAGGAATAGACTTGATAGAGAAGTAAAAAATTTTCAAAAACCAATATACCTTGGTGTCTAGCATTATGGCAATGACGTTGTCATCAGATTGTGCATTATACTCTTTAACAAGATCAATAGTTATCTTGTGGGAAGCGTGGTCTCCATGCGACATATTTAAGCGGGCCACGTTCATTCCAGCTTCAGCCAGTTTCCATATCATTTCACGTGAGCTTGTGGAAGGACCAATTGTACAAACTATTTGTCTTCCTTCGAGAGATTGAATCTGTCTTTTCCTTTACCAAAGTTTGGTTGTTGGTCAGAAGCTCTAAAGGAGAGTTCACCTTGTCCTAAAACAGTAGAATCTCAAGTTACAAACTTGCGAAGGAAAGCAAGTACAATGTAAACATTCGAAAGGGAAATGGCATATTCAAGGGTTTATAATGAAACAGAACTACAAAACAGAGCATTTGACATGTGGTTTTTGCAAGTCTAGAATTTAAAAATGCTTAAACCAGGAAGCGCCAGTATCTTTTCTATCTAAAACAGAACATTCATACCGAATAACAAAATCCTGAAATGCAAGAGAAAACACTAATGGCCTACAAAAACCAATTATGAAATACAGAACAGCAGAAATTTAAAAAGACATTGAATCCCTAACCATGGAAGAGCTCTTACGAGATATGTCCAGATGCACAGAAACGATTTTCATTTGTAATTCTATCGGAGGAAAATATAAATAAAAACATAATCACCTTGCTTGTAATGCTATTGAAAGCTTAAAGCTATTTCCTTTTTTTTCTTTCTTTCTTTCTTCTAACTAATAAGACTCGCTTATTGGCTCCAAGGCACTATTTAGAATCTATTTGAAGAATTTATTTCAAAATGAGGTTACGTTACTTTTCAAAATAATTTTAAGAAATATATTAAAATAATATTTTTTATTTTTAAAATTAACCTATCAAAAAATTTAAAAATATTAAAAACATATTAATTTAAAAAAATTAATTTTTTCAAAAATATTTTTAAAACACACGGACAAAAGGCTTACAACAATACCATGTTTAGTTAAGATATTTCCGAATACTTAAAATAATTTCTTTTGCTTCCCAGCAATATCTCAGAAACCAAACAGTGTGTGTGTTGTGTGTGGGTGTACACACACACACACATAATAAAAGAAGATGAGAAGAACTCACAGAGGCAGTTAAAGGACCGTTAGAAGAGACCAGGTTTGCCGTCTGGTTCTGCTCCCTGACTTTCATGGATCTAACTGTAAAGTTGGAATTTTCAAAGAAGCATCTCTTTCTAAGCCTTGATTCCAACATAAACACATCACTCAATTTACTCGACGAAGACAAAATTCGATGATCCCTGCACATGGTCGACATATTGTTAATCGTCGCCATTTCTTCTCAGGTTTTGGCGTCTCTTATTCTTCAAAATATATATATATATGGAGGGAGGGAGGGAGGGAGGGAGG